TGCTCACTTTTAGGTCTATCGCTGGCTGAAAGTTGAGCCCTGGGGGTGGCGTTAGTTCCAGGCTTGGGGGTCTAAGGACCACAGTCTCGGGTTCCCCCGTCTCTTTCAGACCAGTAAGCCCAGTGTTTACAGTTTTGAGTCCTGTTCCCCGTTTTCTTCCACTCCGGCCAGGACCTCCTACTGTGATCTGATTACAGAGCTGGGCAGTGGTCCCGGGGTGGGGGGCTGTGGTTCGTGTGGTCCTCAGTCCATGGACTGTTTCCCTGGGTCTCCCTTACTCTGGGCAGGGAGAGACTGATGGTTGCCCTTTGACGGCCACGTGCATGAACCTGTGGTCTTTCGCCTACAGGGTCTTGGGACTTTGGCTCCATTTCCAGGCCCTGGGGTCCCCTTTGTGTCCGACGTGGAGAAAGCCCATCTCAGCAGCACTGCGCCAAAAGCCTCCGGGGACTTGTCAGGACCTATTGTCGCGTTCAATCGGTGCAGCACTTACAAGCTTCCCCGGGACAGGGCACAGAGTGAGACTTGTTCTGAGTCCGGATCCACACAAAGGCTGCCTGAGGTCTCCGGGACAGACTGGAAACAGCCATGGCTCCCCGCGGGTCTCACGTATGTGCGCCTAGAGCCCGGCTCAGGGCCCGACACAGGATTCGTTTAGCAACCACCTCAAGGCTGATGACGTGCCATGAGTGGCCTCACAGGGCTGGTCACCATGCTTCCAGGACTGTCAGTGACCTCATATCTACAGCAGGGGTTCCACAGGGGTGACTGTGCCCCCCAAGGAAGTATCTGGAGTGACTCTGGGGCCAGGACGGGGTGGTGGGGTGACGCTGGTGCTGCCGGCATCTGGGGGGGAGCCCAGGGATGCTGCTAAACCTCCCGTGATGCACAGAGCACCCCTGCACCCCCACAGCAGTGAGGACACTGACAAGCCTGCCGAAAGGACCTCTGATGAACTTAAAAAGGACCGAGCAGACTTGGGACCACAGGCCCAGCGTGAGCCAAGAACCCCAAGGGGGCTGGAGGGCAGCGACAGGAGCAGAGCCCCTGGAAGGCGGCCCAGGTTCAGGTC